GGTTTAACAATTTCCTTGTAATATTAGAGAAAACCAATACTCCAGCTTGACACCTCCGGTATTAGAGAAAGTAAATACAGTAAATAAGTATTCAGCTCAGTGCCCGCTGATGCATAAGAAAATTAAAGCAAGGGCTTTAGGCCCCAAAATGTTGGGGAACCCATTTTTCACTGGTAGTAGGTGTATGAATTATTATTTTTTCTAATAAATTAAAACAATTTTTTCGAAGTAAAAAAGTAGTACAATTTTTTAATAAACTGAAAATAGAAAACTTCAAAATAGATTTGATCAAGTTAATTTCACCAGGCAATGCGAATCTGAAAAAATATTTTCTTAACGAAAAAAGTTCCTTAAAACATAATAATCACTTCAATATTGATGTTTAACTTTATTTTTCCAATTAAAAGTGTTAAAAGGAAATAATACAAGTAGAAGATAAACCCTAGCTGATATTTTCAATCAGATAAAAATACTTGATTTTTTGTATGTGTGTTTATATTATTAATAACTTTGCATCTACAAAAGTTACACGGAAATACTCTCAAATAAAAATATGCCTTTAAAAAAATAAGGCGTTTCATCAAAGTTTGGCTTTAAGTCACAAATTATTTTGAGCCGCCCCTGACCTTCAGCTTGAGGAAGATGATGAAAACCTACACACACGTGCTTCTTGATAAACAAGTCCTGGCTTGCAAAAATACCCTTTTGATGGACTACAATGCCTATCCTCTGAACAAATACACATCCCTTCTAAGCCACAGCCATCCCCCTTTGCAGTTCGCTTCCCAAACAGTATCTCATCAGACCATTCACTAGAAAACATATTCTTAGGATCCAATTGATTCTTGGTTGCAACAAACTTGTTAAATTTTGGATATTTCTTCGGCACATCAAGAAATGCTACATTCCTATTTTTAGCCCAATGTGGCTTAGCTCCATACTTAACAAATGCTATTTGCTCTACTTCTTCCCAAATATCTTGGTTTAATCGCGGGGTTAAGGCATCATTAGCGCGATAATAGTTAAAATCCACGACAACTGAATCCTCCCCTTGGCCTAAATATGCATTTGAGGCCTTGATAAAACGAAAAAGAAATCCGTTATAAATGTCAACGCCACACAAGTTTTCTGGCTTGACCAAATCGCGTAATTTTTTCACATCACGTATGAAATCTCCGAATATTGAAGATGGAAATTTGGCTGTGGATTCATAGAAGAAGAGTCCATTGATTCTTGGATCCCAAGCACATGTGTTAGTGATGTCTATAGGCGATGAGTATAAACAAGAACCTGAAGTTTGCATTTTCCCTTGAGGACCCACTACTGGATATCCAGTGAAGATTAACTTGTTGTTTTTTAATCCATTTGCTATCAATTTCTTATATGACACGAAAGAACTTGCCATTGTGCATTTGCCACCCAAGTTTCTCGTGTTTTCAAAGCCTTTTTCTGCAAATCAAAATAGTATAATTGTGAAGGTACATACATTAAACTACAAATAATTACATGATAACTCCACAAATTGTGTCACACTAATCATAGCGGTCACGTAATCCCTTCACTAAGCTTAATTTCTTTACCATAAATAGCAAAAGCTATAAGAAAACTAGGACATAAGTTATCAAATTTTCGGATTTCTCGATTGCATGTTAGAGTAAGGATGCATATTTTAATGTTTCTATAAACTAATTCCATAATATTAATAATTAGATAGATAGTATAATACCTGTGGCTCGAACAGACTTAGAGAGCAGAATAAGATTGGATTGGAATCCCAGAAAATCATTGACACCATCGCCTGATGTGTTTAGGGGGACTCTGTTATCATATCTGTACACAGCAGTATGTCTAGAAGGGTACCATTGAATGTCGCCAAATTCATTCTTCCTTGCATGTTCCATAAACTCATCTTCTATATCATTATCATTCGTGAAATTGTATGTTATACTTCTTTTGAATGCTGGCTCCAATTGAAAAGTCACCTACACAAAAATTGCACCTACAACGTTAATACTATATTAAAACAATTAAAACATTAGATGGGGTTTCACTCTCCTCTGTATCGTTTCAATTTTGTGGGGTGTCCTAATAAAGGGGCGATTTAACTTTTCTTACATCGGAGGGGAGCCTGGGGTGGTTCAATTATATTACCTTAGTTGGAAGATTATAATATGTAAATAGGGTAAAAATGATTTTTTTGCTTATATATAAGTTGTTGAATTTCCTTTGGCATCACGATTTTTTTTTTAATCCCCTTATTTGAATTCATGGCTCCACCATTGTCTCACATGTGTACTTTTGATAGTGTGTTACGTTTCCATATTTTATGTTTTTTTACTATTAATTTGATATTGTAGGGCTAATTAAGTCAATCCAACTATACCCGTAACAGGATGTGATATTGTCCAGTTTAGGTAAAACCCAAATGGTTTTCCCGAAAAGGTCTCATGCCAAAGATTATCCTCTTATACGTTACATGTAGTTTTCTTTTCTTTTCAGCTACCATATTGAATCAAGGATCACAATCCACCCATGGCATACAAATAATGGTTCTTGATGACATCAATTATAACCTGAGGGATCAATTTGTACCGATTGAACTCGAACACTATTATAGCTAGAGAGGTCAAATGGGCCTGCAGATTCTCTATCCAAGTTGAGTCGTACTTTGCAAGGAACACAAATTTTTACTTATATTCCAGGTTTTTTTTTTTTTTTTAATTTAAAAAAAGCCTCTCAAACCACCTGATTGCTGAAGATGTACAATGTGAACCGTTTTACCTTTTGGTGTACTGACAGATCAACACTCTTCATTGAAGCTATTTCTCTATACTCCCAAGTTAAAGCCTCAATGAAGAGCATTATCATTTTTATATGCAACAAAGTTAGTAGATTCTCCTTTTTTCCTTTTTGATGTACCATAGTCTATTTCATATAAGGGAGTCTCCTTTGTTTTGTTTACAATTAGTACCTTATGTAACCCACCCCCACTAGATTATTGATTGAATAGTCACACCATCTTTAGCTGACTCGTTTAACCACTATTAGGATTAAAGGTTGGGTTTATTGTCCCTCACCTTTGTGATTTTATGATATAGTAAGGTTTAATGACAAACTCCTACCACATGAAGGTGATAATCTGGACAGATAGATTTAATTAATTATTTTTAAGAAAAGAACTATCATTGTGGGACTTTATTTGCAGCACCGGCAGACATTATGTAATACTTGTTGTCATCGGTTGGACAAGTTCGATCTGGAAGCACAAATGACTACTAACTAATCAAACAGCTTGTTACTTTTGGCATTCAGTTGATGCTCTGATGGGAAATGTTATATGTCATTCTCACTAGCCAGATCCTGTTCCCATTTTGCAGCCAAAAAAGAAGAAAAAAAAGTGACTTGTTCCCAATTATGCGCTGGATGCCTCTTTTTTTTTTTATTTTTTTTTTTTTATCATTAGATTCCAGTCTGTCTACCTAAAAATAACGAGAGAATATGATGAATACTCTGTAATTGAGATAAATTCTTAAATAATGGTATCCCTAGTATTACTTCTTTTTGTCTCTTAGGCTAAAGGTAATAGTACCAATGATTTTACAGCTATAGAAAGAGACATTTTATAAATCGAAAAAATGTAAATGAACTAATCACACTCCCGGTGGAAAGAACAAGTTGATAAATCAATTAATTATACGTAATTTCAGCTCTAAAGTGATTTCCTTAATTCTCTAAGGAAATCCATTCGTAAAAATGTTAATTACGACAATCGAAAGAAACCAACTTGGACATACGAATAAACTAGGCACGAAAATAACTTGCACCCTCCAAATTAAGTTTGTTGAATAAAAAGGAAACAAACATTAGTATATATATATAAAGAATATCAAAGAAAAATGTTTGTTACCTTAGAAATGATGCCAAGCAATCCAAGAGAAACTTTAGCAGCATTGAACAGTGGATTTTGTGGTATCAATTTGATTATTTTGGCATAGCCATCAGCTTCATTTGCTGGTACAATAAGACTGAGAGCAATAACATGATCATGAACTGCTCCTCCTTTGCCCCACCACGAACTGCCGTGAGCCCCCGTACTTATTACTCCGGCAACCGTCACTCCCTCCCAATATGGAGCCGCCACCAAACTCAACCCCGCCTTTTCGACTGTATCTATAAGCTTTCGAAGCCCTACTCCGCCATCAGCGGTGACTGTAAGTTTTTCCACGTCCACATTAATAGTTGAGTCGTATTTTTCAGTACTTATGAAGACAGCGGCATTTCCAGTACTGGGGCATGCGAGTTTAGGAATGGTGTGTGAAAATCTTGTAACAACTTTGACTTTAAGGTTGTTCTTGTTTGCATTGGCTAATTCTTGTCGAAGCTCTTCTTCTGTTGTGGGATAGACAATTTTGGGAGCGTGACATATTTGTCTGTCTCCCCAAATACCGTAGGAATTGGAAAGTTGGCAAACTGTTATATTGCATTTGATAGGGTTTGGTGGTGGCATAGCAGAAGAGATGGTTACAAGTGTGGCTGAAATCCATAAAAGGATTAGGTGGCGGCCTCGGCAGAGATCAGCCATTACCATTTGAAATCTTGGGTTGTGATTATTGATGGAAGATGTTTATAAAGATGAATGTTGCTTCAAAGGGAAGTGAAGGTGGGGTTGGGATATATATATTGCCATTGAGTATTTAGGCCTTTTACGTAAATTCCAAACAAAGACACATTTGAGCTAAATAAATAAATTAATCAATTTAATGTATATGCACTGACGGAGTATGGATTATTTACGCAATTCGTATAGTTTAACCTAAGATATATATATATATATATATATATATATATATATATATATATATATATATATATATATATATATATATATATATATATATATATATCGTAGTATATATATCTTAGGTTACCTAGGAGTAATGTTTATTACTATAATATTTACGAGTTATTGCTTTACAGTGAATCTTACAATATAAATATTTCAATTACATTGTCCAGGCAATCAAATTTAAATTCTGAATAAATAAAGACTTGGGATTTGATTGCGGAGATGCTCAAATTTGACTTCTTTGTCTAATAGTTTTCATTCTTTATTGTGTGTTTGTGATGTAAGCATAGCATAATGTACGTAGTTTTCTGACGAAGATTTGGATTTGTTCGACATTCAATTTTGTGGCTATTTAAGATATGAGTATCTATCTATTCATGATGTGATATGGACTTCATCACTAAAGAAATAAAATCTTCCTTTCTGCTTCCTTCACTAGAAAGGAGCAAAATATGAATACCTCGCCATAAGATATATAATGAGAATACTCTGTCTAATGGCCACTGATTAACAAAAATCTTCATCAGCAATACGTCCATTTTCTGTTTCATCTCGTTTGACTAAATTGCCTTTTATGACAATCAATTTCTTAAGATTGGTTCTCTTCAAAATTTGAAGCTGCAGATATGAGCGTATGTCTTAGATCACAATATTTTCTCCTCCTTTCAATTGCGTGAAAAGTATGGCTAAGGTTGTAGATTAAAAAACACCAGGATTTTTTGATTCTCAACTCTGGTGGGCTCGTGTTCACATTTCTTGTTAAGTTAATCGTTTCCCATTAGAACTCCGCTTTTCCCGGAAAAGCAAACTTGCTACTACCTTTTATTATGCTCAAACTGATTGAGTTCTCCCATCTCATATTTTATTTAATTTGCTCCTCTGATTGCAGAACAAATGTATAACAATCCAGCCCCACTGCAAATATTGTTTGGTTTGCTAGGTCCATACAACTTAAAAATACGTTACTAGAGTGTAAAGCTTGTTTTCTCATATACCTAACATAACATTTCTCCTATATTTTTCTAATGTGAATTTTGCCTACAGTTTGGATGTCACGATCCAAAATCCAATTAGTCGTGATGGCAACTAACCCAACCTGCCAGGTAAGCCAACTAACAACTATGAAATTAATAAAACAATTAAATAAAAAAAATTATCTGAATCTTATACATTCCCAAAGGACTGGTTGTACAAATCATGAGCTTCTAAGAATAGAGTTTACAAAGCTGGTATGAAGTAAATACATCATCTGTTTGAAAAGTACATAAACAGAGTTTTACGAATCTAAGGCTACCATGAACAAGAGGCAGCTACAACCGGAACACAAGTACATCTTCAATTCCAACTCCCATCGAACACAGCAACGTCAACAACCAACATTTGCACGCAAGGTGCGGAAGTGTAGTATGAGTACAACCGACCCCGTATACTCAATAAGTGACAAACCTAACCTTAGGTTGCAAGTAGTGACGAGCTGGAACAAAGGTCGGGTCCAACATCAATAGCCAACAACAGTTCATAACAACGTGAAGCAAGTAATGCAAGAAGCAACTCAATAATAAAATGCTCAGCTCGTTCACAATTCCGGAAAATTAAACATTTTCTTTTCAAGTATAATAGTAAAACTCAATTCTTTTTACTGAAATCACCAAAATATGAGTAAGTCTGAAAACTGTGATTTTTTCAAAAAATTCTTTTAACAATGAATATGATGTTTCATTTTTCTTTACAGATAGCAAGTGTAAAATACCTCTCTATTCCATATATCAATATGTGTGAGAAGTCATGAATGACATGATACTGTACAGCATGAGGAAAATGCATCTCTATGTTTGTATGTCATGTGTGTGCATGTCAATGACATGTATCTCAAAGATGAATCATGTGCTCACTCTCTTAGAGTACTCAATCTCACTATCTCACACTTTCTGCTCATCATGCCCAATCACTCAGTACTGTATATGGCCAATCTAGCCCAGGGAAGATCCATTCCGAAATATATACATCAACTGACTAATAGTCGCTCAGTACTGAGTATGGCCCAATCCAGACCGTGGGAAGATCCATCCCCAGGTATATAAATGCTTTAGACAATATCCATGTCCAGGGAAGATCCATCCCTCAATATAATCACCGCGCTCACTAGAGGTGTGTGCAGACTCCGGAGGGGCTCCTTCAGCCCAAACGCTGTCATAAATCAGTATAACCGCTGCGGCATGCAGCCCGATCCCATATATGTAATCAATATAACATGTTGCGGCGTGCAGCCTGATCCCATAGTATCACTCACACTCAGGCTCTCGGCCTCACTTAATCATCAATCTCTCCAGTCTCTCGGGCTCACGATGCCATGAGACTAGCCCAAAATAATGATATGCCAATAAATGGTAACATAGACTGAGATATGATATGCATATGAATGCGTATGACTGAGTATATAAAACAATGAAAGCAGAAAACTCAATAGCAGAAATGACCTCAGTGGGCCCCAACAGGATGGCATATAGCCTAGACATGGTTTCTAACATGGATCACAACTCAATAGCTCAAATGCGTAGAACTTTTATGATTACAGGTAAGATCAGGTAACTACACAGTACCACAGAAATAACGGAGTCTCAATTCACATGGCGCACACCCACACGCCCGTCACCTAGCATGTGCGTCACCTCAACACCAATCATATAACACGTAATTCGGGGTTTCATACCTCAGCACTAAGTTTAGAAGACCCAGAGCAGCAACACCAGAGGCGGAGCCGCAGGTTGATTTTTGAGGATGAGGTTCCGGCCCCAGTGGTTCCGGTGGGCCCAGCTCAGGTCCCAGAGGGGTTTAATGCTACCCCGGTTCTTCAGGATGCTCTGGTCCGTCTAGTGGGCCTTATGGAGAGTGTCACCCGAGCAGGTCTACTTCCTGTAGCACCAGCCGTCTCTCAGGCTGGAGGAGGAGCCCAGACTCCTGCTACTCGCACTCCGGAGCAGGTAGCTCCTCAGTATCAAACTCCAGCGGCTCAGCCAGTTGGAGCAGTTCAGCCGGGACTGGCGATGGTGCAGCTATGTCTGCCGATGCTTTGTGGAGATTGGACAAGTTCACCAAGCTCTTCACTACTACTTTCAGCGGTGCATCTACTGAGGATCCCTAGGATTATCCAGACAGCTGTCACGAGGTTCTTCAAAACATGGAGATAGTTGAGACCAACGGGGTCGATTTTGCCACATTTCGCTTGTCTGGATCCGCCAAGACTTGGTTGAGAGATTATTGCTTAGCTAGACCAGCAGGATCGCCAGCCTTGACCTGGGAGCAGTTCACGCAGCTATTTCTTGAGAAGTTACTCCCTATTACACAGCGAGAGGCCTATCGGAGGCAGTTTGAGCGCCTCCAGCAGGGATTGTCGATGCCCCCTTTTCTCGCGAAATTGGATTTATGACATTTGGGAGGACAACTCGTTCCCTTTGGGAATTGGGTTTGAATTGAAGAGTCTCCGCCTAATGATTAAAGTGCATTAGGACACTAAGAAGAATTTTAATTTAGAAAACCAAAGATTGGGTAAGGGCTCGAAATTATCCCGAGGGGAAGGTGTTAGGCACCTCTCGAGATCCACTAGTGTGATTCTCGGCCATACTATGATTGTGACTTTAAGTGCAAACAACAAGTAGACAAGTAAGAGTTTCAAATATGAGGGGGTTTTCACATAATTGTTGCAAGTAATTGAAGTTAAAGGAAGTTAAAGAAGCTGAAATTTGAAAAACAAAAAAGCAGTTTTGAAATTCTAAATAAAATAAACAAGTAAAGGGAAGGGGGTCCTAGGTTTATAAATAATATGGATCACCCCACACAACACCCGGTAACCACTTATACACGTGGTGTTATCGTGTGGTCGTCATATCCATATCTACCCTTTCCCACCTCGTTAAGATATTAAAGCGCAGGATAGTCTCGTTACTTATTGCATGCTACTACCCGTCCCAATCCTATCAGTCCCGGAGGTATTTGGACTACTAATCCTACAGGGAAGGGGTATGAGGCTTTATAGTTTCAAAGGACAAAATTCTAAGGCGACAATCAAAACACATACGTAGAAAATATGGGGAGAAGCACGTAACAGATAGAAAGGCTCAAACAAACCTCCTTAAAACCAAAGAGAAGCATATAGTTTAGCATGTCTTACACGTACTGATTAGGGTCTGATTAAACTTAAGAGTTGTGGTAGACTGATCTATTACATATTTCAGATAAGAAATCCGAATCAGGCCTGCCTGTTGGTTGTAGCTAAAAATCTGATTCAGTTTACAAGTTTGTCCTAAGGCTTGCCTAAGCGTTAAACGAAACCTATAGGCATGATATCTATTAGTTTCAGAAAAGAAGTATGTTGATATAAGAAAAGTTGTCAGTTAACCAGGAAAGGCGAGTTTTGGTAAAAGAGCGTAAATTCTGCAGACGTTAAGCATTATCGTTACTGATTTTAGACCTATAAGCGAATGAACGATTCAGGTTTGGTTGATAGTTCCTATAGGCATGCTTTCTAGGCGTTATTGACTTTAAACACTTTTTACAGGCGTAGTAAGAGTGCAGAAATCCTACGGGCATGATATCTGAATGCTGTTAGTTTTTAATCCTATAAACAGGTTTGCCTAGTGACCAATGCATATGCAGGATCTGGATTTCTGGTTAACTTA